TAGAAGACTTACTATTATGCAGACTACTGCAATACTGTAATAATTGTATAAATAACATCAACCCATTCATGACTGCATATTAGAATGGCTAGTTGGACATTTATTGGACAATGGCATCATTTGTTTACTTTTGAACATTGGCAAAAATCAAACATTTCCCCTACTTTGAGCTCCATTTCTAGGTTCTTTTTATAGTAAAATCAATCAAAATCACCTCTATTTCTATAATATGTTTTCCGTTCTATCAAATGAGACCAAGAAAACGAGAATACAACCATAAATACTATACGAAAATAGACCACAAAGTCGGCATTTTAATTAAAAAAAACGGTCAGTTTTTTTTTTTTCTCATTATGCACTGCGTGCTCCAGGATTTTTTTTATATGGTGCACACTGACCACACAGACCCATTCTCTCACATGTGGGCCTACCAGCTTTCTCCTGTTTGATTTGAAGCCGCTAAAATTTATGAGTATATATACGTCAAACACGGTACCTCGTAAGACGTATATATACGGCCGCGACAGTCAAAGGGTTAAAAAGATATTGGACAAATATATGAGTGGGAGGGGCTGGGTATGATTGGTGTTGTGGGTACATAATAACATTAGAAAGGGGGAACACTGCAGTAGGCCTGTTGGCCCATACTAGGCAGGTCCTTCACAGATCCAACCCACTAACAGAATAAATGTACCCAAGCAATAAGCATTGACAATTCTGTTCATTCATCTTGACTGTGTGCTAATGGAGTTACAGGAAAGTGACATTGAAGAAATGCTGAACACTGACAATGCTGCACCTGTTATGCATTCCTTGAGTGATGGTGAAATTAGATGAATTGTGATATATAAATAAGCTGTAGAGTTGATATTAGCATCATACTGAAGTATTTTGCCGTTCCTCCTAAGAGCAGGAATTCCGCTGGAATGGATTAATGTCATTTCACTTAATTTATATGAGGAAAATTGACTCAGCATACGAACAAATCGGGATACGAATGAGGTCACGGAACGGATTAAATTCGTAAGCCAAGGTTCCACTGTAATTGTATAAATAATATCAGTACATTCATGAATGCATATTAGACCCACCAGTTAACGTGTATTGGACATGTGATGTGATTTGGTTGCTCTTGAACATCGTCAAAAATCAAACATTTCTGCTATTTTGAGTTCAGTTTCAAGCTACTTTTATTCAGTAAACCATTCAAAATCACCTCTATTTCTGTAATATATTTTCCATTCTATCAAATGAAACCAAGAAAACAAGAATATAACCATAAATACCATACAAAAATTCACCACAAAATCACTGTTTTAAACCAAAACACAGCCGTAGTATTTTTTCCTCATGCACTGCTTGCTGCAGAATTTTTTTTTATACTGCGCACACTAACCACACAGACCCATTCTCTCATATGAAGGCCTACCAACTTTCTCCTGGAAGATTTGAAGCCTCTAGAATTTTGGCATAGTATTATGGGACTGACATTGGCTTCAAAGCCGTAATACTACAGCACTGACACTATGTAAAGTAAAAGGACACAAGTGCTACTAATGTGACATTTTATTGTGGCAACGTTTCGCTCTCCTGGAGCTTTATCAAGCTGTTATGAATAGTACATGAACAAAGAGGGTATACATGTATATAGGCTTAGAGTGAGGTGCAATACTAGTGGTTGTAGTAGTAGTAGTAGTAGTAGTAGTAGCAATACAATATGGTAGAACAATTAACTTGCACATGAGTAAAAGGATATAAAAGCTATTACTTTGGTAACATAAAAATAGGTTAGACAAATATTTATGTTGGAGGCTGGATTAGAGAAGGCCTGTTTCAAAGTTCATCCTCTGTAATGTGCTTGTGTAGTATTAACAGGAGAGACTATGTGATGGCAGGGTTTACTGTTTTCAGGAGGATTCTTGCTAAGACCTCAGAGATGGTGAAGCTACCTTTGTTTTGTTTAATTGTATTAGAAACAGCAGTTAGTGATGATTCAAGGCACTTGCGTCTGCGGAAATTAGTTTCTTTGATCACTAATTGGGTGTCCCTAAATTTCATGAGATGATTGGTGGAATTCCGGTGTTGTACGCAGGCATTGTTCAAGTTATCGTTCCTACAGGCATTAATGTGTTCATTGAGGCGGGTGTCGAGGTTTCTTGCTGTTTCATCTACATAGGTAATTCTACCAAATATATACAGCACTGACACTGAAAGGGTTAATATACAGTATAAAAATGTATTGATATGTCCAGTTTTTTCACATTTAAACTATTGATCATGTAGATGGAGGGAAGTAGGAAATATGTATGTTGAGGCAGTTGATTTACTCTGACACAGCTGTGCCAGAGTAAATCAGCTGCTTCATAATTAGTGATTCCAACAATTCAAGAGTAGGGAAAGTTATTGATAAGTACATATCATAATATGTAAATGGCACTACAGTATTCAATATAATTAGAGGGGTTGCATTAATACCCTAAATGTAGACATCACAGTTAGTGGAGTTCCTCTTTCACATAAACACTAGAAGAAACGAACTTCTGGGGTGATGATGCATTCAGTATACAAAAATTATCAAGTTTCTTTACATTTTAACCTTGATGATAGAGAGGATATGGAAACACCAAGTGTACTAACTGCTGATGCAGGAAGCACCTGATTTATTTCAGTCTCTGGAGACTTATGACTCCTAGGATGATTAATAATTGATATATGAACATTATCAAATTCTTCCTCAATAAGCCATGCATGTCATAAGAGGCAACTAAAATACCAGGAGCAAAGGGCTAATAACCCCTTCTCCTGTATAAATTACTAAATTTTAAAAGAAAAACTTTTGTTGTTCATTTTAGATCACCCTGCCTTGGTGGGATATGGCCAGTTCATTGAAAAAAAAATAAGCATTATTACCAATTTCTTCAGAATTTTTAAATTCAAGAACAAACATTACAGTAGGTCTACTGGCCTAAGTCAAGTAGGTACAGGTCACACCCACTTATGTACCTGTCCAATCTATATTAACCCTTAAACGGTCCAAACGTATATATATGTTCACTCGCGTAGCTCCTCAAATTTTTTGAGAGAGAAAAAACTGTCTTTTTTTTAATAGGAAAAAAGAGCATATGGTACCCAGGCGTCCCCAGTTATTTTAATATGGCGCACAGTGAGTGCGCACACCCATTCTCTCATGTCTAGGTGACTCAGGCTTATCGTGGCAATGTTGAATGAATGACAAAGAAAACGTATATATACGTTTGGGGCGCTATACACGTGAACGTATATACAGTGGACCCCCGGTTAACGATATTTTTTCATTCCAGAAGTATGTTCAGGTGCCAGTACTGACCGAATTTGTTCCCATAAGGAATATTGTGAAGTAGATTAGGCCATTTCAGACCCCCAAACATACACGTACAAACGCACTTACATAAATACACTTACATAATTGGTCGCATTGGGAGGTGATCATTATGCGGGGGTCCACTGTATACGTTTGGACCGTTTAAGGGTTAAAAGCTATACAAAGTTTTTTCTTCAGTGATGCTACTCAGCAGTTTGTTCTGCTCATCCACAACTCTATTGCCATACCAGCACTTCCCTATATCCTTTCTAAATCTAAATTTCTCCATCCTGAATCCATTGCTGCGAGTCCTGGCACTACATATTTCTGGTGATGCAGAAAAACAGTGCCCTTTCATCTCTTGACTTATTCCTAGGTTATGAAAAAATTGAGGACTGAAAGTATACCCCTGACTTACACTGTAGGTTATGCAGAAATTTCATTATTGTGGTGACAGTATTGCTCCCTCTTCCCCTTGTTTTATAAGCCTGGGTCGACTTATGGCCATTAATATACAGTAAGTGGAAAATTTGGAAAAAGTTTCTTCTGGAGCCTAAGTGGAAGTGTGGATGTTTGATGGTTGTATTATTCATGGGATGTCAGGGCTTGATGCAGTAATTCATTTTTTCATCCTTTAAATATATAGTAAAGAAATATTCTCATATACAGTAACTTACAACTAAGAGATGTTCTTACTTGGTTGAAAGTGGAACAATTGAATTAGTAATTCTTGCATGTTTATTATTATATTCTGTACAGTATAAAATTTTTTGGCAGTATTGGCAAGAAGTTTTACTCCATATTATATGTTTCATATTTAACCCTTAAACTGTCCAAACGTAGATCTATGTTGACATGCATAGTGCTGCGAACGTAGATCTACGTCTGATTTTACATGCTTTCAGATAGAGAAAATCAAGGTCGGAACGCTACGCACGTCAATGTAGATCTACGTTTGGACAGTTTAAGGGTTAAACAAATTAATTGTAATTTGCTGTAATCACTTGCTTTCATGTTTTGTAATGACAAATATATTTACAAGTTTAATGAAAATTTATTATCACAGTTCAATAAGGCCCCAACTGAAGAAGTTCTAAGTTACAAGAGTTCCCACTCACATTATTGCCATTTTGGAAACATTTAATTACAGTAAACCCTTGATATGTACATATAGGACCTTGATACAACAAACTTTTAAAATAATGGGTAACTCACTTCATTTTTAATTTTTTATTTAATGTTTATTTCCAGTTTTCGTTTTTAAATTTCATGTAACTAAATTATGTGTACAGTACTGTGTTAGGTATACAGTTTAGTATTTTAGTGCCCACTTTTTTTTTTTTTTGATGAACACTTGGACAATTCCCTTATTTGTCTTTCATATGGAGGGATTACTCTAGATACAGAATATTATGGTTGGGAATGCATTAATTAATTTTTCTTTGTTTCTTATGGGAAAAGGAGTTCTGAGTACCAAACAATCAACGTAAAATGAATTGTGTGAAATGCATTAACATTGTAAGTTGGGGCCGTCTACTGTACTCCTCGTGGTTCCTTGTTTCTGGAAGATCTTGTGATATATTTGTTAATACAATACAATGAACTTTATTTGATATGATTTGTTGAAATGTATACAGTGATTTTTTCTTTTTTTTCACAGGTGTTGCCAGAAAAGTATGTTGAATTTCCAGATGGCGTAATGCAGCCAGGAGGTATGAAAATGACACTGCCTCAAGAAATAACAGTTATTTAAAAATATGTATACAGCCTCTCCTCACTTAACGACGAAGTTCTGTTCCTAAGACCACGTTGGTAAACGAATTCGTCGCTAAGTGAGGAGCATACTATAATGGTAGTGAGTTTGTGTCAGCCATCTCTGATGTTGTTTTAATGTCACCTTTGCACCTTTTATAACATTTCCTGTATATTTTTAAATGTTTTTACAGTAGTGTACTGTATATTGTAATAAACAGAATAAAGGAAATTAGCTCTAATACATATTATTTAGGTATGCATACTGGTCAGTGAGCCCATCATAAGTCCGAGTCATCGGTAAAGAGTATGTCACTAAGTGAGGAGAGGCTGTATACATTTTTTTTTTTTTTAACAAGTCGGCTGTCTCCCACCGAGGCAGGGTGACCCAAAAAGAAAGGAAATCCCCAAAAAGAAAATACAGTGGACCCCCGCATACCGTTGGCATCACATAACGTTTAATCCGCATACCGCTCGCTTTTATCGCAAAAATTTTGCCTCGCGTACCGCTCAAAAACCCGCTCACCGCTGTTCGTCCGAGACACGTCCAATGTGCGCCCTTAGCCAGCCTCACATGTGCCGCCGGTGGCATTGTTTACCAGCCAGCCTCCGCGGTAACATCCAAGCATACAATCGGAACATTTCGTATTATTACAGTGTTTTTGGTGATTTTATCTGCAAAATAAGTGACCATGGGCCCCAAGAAAGCTTCTAGTGCCAACCCTACAGCAATAAGGGTGAGAATTACTATAGAGATGAAGAAAGAGATCATTGATAAGTATGAAAGTGGAGTGCGTGTCACCGACCTGGCCAGGTTGTACAAGAAACCCCAATCAACCATCGCTACTATTGTGGGCAACAGAAAGGCAATCAAGGAAGCTGTTCTTGCCAAAGGTTTAACTGTGTTTTCGAAACAGAGATCGCAAGTGATGGAAGATGTTGAGAGACTCTTATTGGTGTGGATAAATGAAAAACAGCTAGCAGGAGATAGCGTCTCTCAAGTGATCATAAGCGAAAAGGCTAGGAAGTTGCATGAGGATTTAATTAAAAAAATGCCTGCAACTAGTGATGATGTGAGTGAATTTAAGGCCAGCAAAGGTTGGTTTGAGAGATTTAAGAGGCATAGTGGCATACATAGTGTGATAAGGCATGGTGAGGCTGCCAGTTCGGACCACAAAGCAGCTGAAAAATATGTGCAGGAATTCAAGGAGTACATAGACAGTGAAGGACTGAAACCTGAACAAGTGTTTAATTGTGATGAAACAGGCCTGTTCTGGAAGAAAATGCCAAGCAGGACCTACATTACTCAGGAGGAAAAGGCACTCCCAGGACATAAGCCTATGAAAGACAGGCTTACTTTGTTGATGTGTTCCAATGCTACTGGTGATTGCAAAGTGAAGCCTTTATTAGTGTATCACTCTGAAACTCCCAGACCGTTCAGGCAAAAGAATGTCCTCAAGGAGAATTTGTGTGTGGCTGTGGAGGGCAAACAGTAAGGCATGGGTCACTAGGGACTTTTTCTATGACTGGTTACACCATGCATTTGCCCCCAATGTGAGAGATTACCTAACTGAAAAGAAATTAGACCTTAAGTGCCTCCTGGTGTTAGACAATGCCCCTGGTCATCCTACAGACGTGGCAGAGCGACTTTATGGGGACATGAAATTCATTAAGGTGAAGTTTTTGCCTCCTAATACCACTCCTCTCCTGCAGCCCATGGACCAGCAGGTTATTGCAAACTTCAAAAAAACTGTACACAAAAGCTCTGTTTGAAAGGTGCTTTGTAGTGACCTCAGAAACTCAACTGACTCTAAGAGAGTTTTGGAGAGAGCACTTTAATATCCTCAATTGTGTAAACCTTATAGGTAAGGCTTGGGGGGAGTGACTAAGAAGACCTTGAACTCTGCTTGGAAGAAACTGTGGCCAGAATGTGTAGACAAAAGGGATTTTGAAGGGTTTGAGGCTAACCCTAAGAGGATTATGCCAGTTGAGGAATCCATTGTGGCATTGGGAAAGTCCTTGGGGTTGGAGGTTAGTGGGGAGGATGTGGAAGAGTTGGTGGAGGAGGACAATGAAGAACTAACCACTGATGAGCTGATAGATCAACTTCAACAGCAAGAGGCCATACCTGAGGAAACTGGTTCAGAGGAGGGAGAGAGAGAAATTGAAGAAGTTGCCTACTACAAAGATTAAGGAAATCTGTGCAATGTGGCTGAAAGTGCAAACCTTTATGGATGAGAATCACCCTCACACAGCTATTGCAACCCGTGCTGGTGATTATTACACTGACAATGTTGTGAAATACTTTAGGGAAGTCATAAAGGAACGAGAGGTACAGGCCACTATGGACAGATATGTTGTGCGAAAGAAGTCCAGTGACTCTGAAGCTGGTCCTAGTGGCATTAAAAGAAGAAGGGAAGTAACCCAGAAAAGGACTCGACACCTCAAGTCTTAATGGAAGGGGATTCCCCTTCTAAACACTAACACTCTCTCTCCCCTCCTCCCATCCCATCAATCATCACCAGATCTTCAATGAAAGTAAGTGTCATGTAATTGTGCATGCCTTTTTCATTTTGTGTGTATTAAAATTAACATTTCATGTGGTAAATTTTTTTTTTTCATACTTTTGGGTGTCTTGCACGGATTAATTTGATTTCCATTATTTCTTATGGGGAAAATTCATTCGCATACCGATCATTTCGCATAACAATGAGCCCTCTTGCATGGATTAAAATTGCTATGCGGGGGTCCACTGTACAGTGGACCCCCGGCATACGATATTAATCCGTTCCTGAGAGCTCATCATATGCCGAAATTATTGTAAGGCGAATTAATTTTCCCCATAAGAAATAATGGAAATTAAATTAATCCGTGCAAGACACCACAAAGTATGAAAAAAAAAAATTTTTACCACATGAAATATTAATTTTACTACACACAAACTGACACTTACCTTTATTGAAGATCTGGTGATGATTGATGGGATGGGAGGAGGGTAGAGTATGGAAGTTGTTAATGTTTAGAAGGGGAATCCCCTTCCATTAGGACTTTAGGTAGCACGTCCTTTTCCGGGGTTACTTCTCTTCTTCTTTTAATGCCACTAGGACCTGCTGATCATGGTGCAGTAACAGCTGATCGTGGTGCAGCAGCAGCTGACAGTGGTGCAGCAACAGATGACGGTGGTGTAGCAGCAGCTGACTGTGGTGCAGCAGCAGCTGACCGTGGTGCAACAGCAGCTGATCGTGGTTCAGCAACAGCTGAACGTGGTGTAGCAACAGATGACGGTGATGTAGCAACAGCTAACTGTGGTGCAGCAGCAGCTGATCGTGGTGCAACAGCAGCTGACTGTGGTGCAGCAACAGATAACGGTGGTGTAGCAGCAGCTGACTGTGGTGCAGCAGCAGCTCACCGTGGTGCAACAGCAGCTCACCGTGCTGCAACAGCAGCTCACCGTGGTTCAGCAACAGCTGACTGGTGCAGCAACAGCTGACCATGGTGCAGCAACAGCTGACTGTGGTGCAGCAACAGCTGACTGTGGTGCAGCAACAGCTGATGGTGGTGCAGCAGCAGCTGACTGTGGTGCAGCAACTGCTGACGGTGGTGCAGCAACAGCTGACCGTGGTACGTAGTACAT